ACCCACCCACCCCTCTGCCCACATACACACTCTTAGAAAGCTCTCCATTAATTTCTCTTTTGATTTTGGATCTTGTATGGTTTTGCTGTTGCCTGTTTTTCCTTGCTGTGCCTTAACTGTCCTGTAAGTAGTAGAGTGAATCTCACCAATGAACTTTGTTGTGATGTCACTTAATATTAAATCTGGCTTTTGATGATAACCTCGCCAATGATTTTTTAAGTGATCTCAAACATTTGTTCATACCAACACCAGAGCCCCAAGGTGTACCAAGGTGCACCACTGGAGCTAGAATACTGTGGCTCCCTGGTAATTTCACATACAGTCTATTGTTACATTATCAAATCCTCTTATATAATGTGAACTCTGTTTTAATTTCCTATGAGCTAAGTGAGGCAAGTTAGCCAAAACTGCGTTCAGTTACCACGTCAGTTAACACTTCCCTTTGCTGCAGAATTACACTTTTGTATCACTGATAGTTTTTCCAGAAAATACCACCATTTCCTGGGTAGACATTCAAGAACCAGAGAGCATTTTTTCAACCTTTTAAGCCCTGTTTTATGTATTGGACTAGCCATGTGCTATCCCTAATAAGTTAAGCCTCTCAGTGCCCTTATTAGTAAAAACAGCATTATTGTTCTGACTCACTGAAGAACAGAGAAGACTGATTTGCTCTGTAATTGAGCAGCAGAGGTCAGACTATATCCTTCACTTTATGAATTCCAGTCAAATGGTCCTAAGTTTTACAAATATCAGCCCATGTTCTAGGAAAACCAGGTTTAGCTTGTAACCTGTGCATGGGACTGTACACATATACACAAGGTTGTAGTAAATGCTTGCAAATCTGGCATCCTTCATTGCATACGCAGCTGATATCACAGAAGGCTATCCATCAATATAACAACTAGAGAAAATAATGTGCTCCATTCCTCTTACTGGCTTACATATATGGAAGCCAAAATAGCCTGAAGATAAGGGCCTTTTTTATTTATCATTTTTGAAGAGAAAAGGACAACTTAATTCTGACTCCACAGGCATCCAAGGTGAACCACCAAGAGTGAATACAGCCATTGCCTGTGGGTAATACTTTTCCCAAGAAAATGGCATCAACCAATAAGGAAGATTAACAACAGTTAATAAACCTCCTAAAGCAACATTTAGAGCTATCTCATGAATGAAAAGCCGATTTCCCAGAAGAGGACAAGTTAGCTGCCAAAATACCAAAGACACAGAGAAGACGAAGAAAAGGAAGCCAATCAGCGAAGCTGACAGGTCATCTGGTAAAGATCCAGCTCTCCAAGTCAACATATTCTTTTCTAAGGTGGCGTTTTATTGCTCTTACAGTAGATGTTGATTTTGTCATAGCAAGACCAGCCTGCCTAACTGTAATTCCTACAGCTGGTCTGAATTTTTCATGAAGCTCTTTGTTTGCATATCGGAGCACATTGGGCATCTTCTCTGAATGAGGCAGTACAATTAAGCAGGAGAACTGACACTTTGAGGCAATTTCTGCAGATCTGAAGAAGCCAGAAAAATGTTGCCATTTGCAGAAGTTAAGCCCGGGGGCACCATTCAGAACTGCTCAGAGAAAGCACACAGAATCTGTGACAGGAAAAGAAAACACCTTATCATTGTCTGTGCTTCAGTAACGCATGACTGCAGTAAGATTCCATTTGACAGCTTTTTGTCAGTGTTTCAGCCTGCACTCATTTTACTTCAAGATTTTTGGATATATATTTTCAAGGCCAAATGGCATCACTAAGGTGTACATCCTGAAAAATGTAGGCCATAATTTGACATCCATTAGGTGGGTGGCCTATATGGTTTTTTGATGATAGGTCAGACCTTGAATGTGCACAGAAGTCACCGCACACTTACTAAAAATATGTATGCGCACATGTTGTGCAGAAGAAGAAACATCCCACATATTACTTTTTGTCTGCTATTGAGAAAGTCATTGCAGACGTGATCTTTCAGATCCTGTAATATGCCCTGTACCTCTGAAGAATGTAACATGGATTTCAGATGTCCACCTTTGAAAGTAGAAGACAGGAGGCAGAGGACATCATCCATCTTTCATCTGTTGTCTTCAACATCTCAGCCTTCTTTGGTTTTGGCATTTAGCTCTGACTTTGTGAAATTTGAAAAAAAAAAAAAAAAAAAATCAAAAAATCTCCACTGTCATTCTAACATGATAATTCAAAGGCAGGATCTTCAAACTCTACAATGCATGACATAGCATGGATAAAGCAGGTCAAAAGTAGACAAAAATGTCTGGCAAATTAAGTTAATGGTATGTAGAAAAAAGAGAATTTGTTAAACATTGAAGTCCATTTTGCACTGTGGGAAGTTAGACTCCTGTTTCTTGGGATCTTTGGAAATAATAGTATAGTAAAACACTTGACCTTACTCTCACCAACACATGACTAATGTCATTCTTGAATATTTTGAATTTTTGTTCCTCTGCTATCTGAAAATGATTTTCTGAAATTAATTTTTACATGTGTGTCTAGAGGGTATTCTCACAACTGAAGAAAGCAGAAGCAGAGGCATAGTGCAGATCAATGTCTGGCTTCATGGTTGGTGCCATCAAGAAGGCTTTGGCTTTTTTAGCAATGGATTGAACGTCAATGACTCTAGTCTGTTAGGGAGAGATGGGATCCGCTTGTCTAAAAAGGGAGAGAAAATCTTTGGCAGCAGACTGGACAATTTGGTGAGATGATCTTTTCACTGAATGGCTTTTGGGGTCCAAAGTGGCAATGCTCATGCCTTTGCTTTTTCCTGGGCCATGCCAACCAGTGCTACCTTGGTCTCCTCTCAAATGAGAATCATAGGGCTATCTAGATCAAGGGTGTGTATTACTATGGGGAATCCTGTTCCACCTCTTCTAGGGAACCTGGGTGCTAGATTACCTCCCTGATGTGGCTGTACACAAATGCAGAGAGCATGGGGAGTAATGGGGAGCATGGGGAGAAATGGGGAGTAAGCAAGAACTAGAAATCTCTGGGCATATGTGGCAGCAGCTCTCTGTCCACAGAGACCAACACATAACTTTCCCAGGCACTGTCCTGGGAAAGGCTGTGAGAAGATCAGAGAAAATAATGATAAAAAAATTTTATCTTCACTTGCTGCACTTGTTGTGAAAATGTGGAATGTGTTATGGAGATTTGTTTACCAAAGGATGGTTTCTTAATTGACCAATGGTGATGGTGTTTAGATTAAAGGACCAATTGGGTCCACCTGTATCATGACTGTCTGTAAGGGTGATGCGTGATACTTAGTAAGCATAGTATAATAAAGTGATTGATCAGCCTCCTGAGAATCATGGAGTCAATCCTAATTATTACCCGGCTGGGGAACTGCGGCGACAGGCATGTGCTAATTTAGGGCCATTATATCATTGCATTTACAGAGATACTGTGGGATAGCTGGTGTGACTGGAATGTTACTCGGATGCCTATGGCGTTTTTAGAAAGGAGAGGTCAGTGAGATGAGGTGGTGCAGTTGTTCTTTGTATGAGAGAGAAACTGGAATGTATTGAGCTTGACTCAGGGACATACAAACTATTTGAGAGCTTAACATAAGACTTAAAAGGACAGGCTAAAAAGGATGACACAAGTACTATCAGCAGCAAAATGAAGATTGGGAAGATGTGGGGCCACTGCTGAATCAGATGGGTGTCCTGGTGATGCAAGACACAGAGAAGGCCAAATTACTGAATGCCTTCTTTGTCTCAGTCTTTACCGGTGAGGCCAGCTCTGAGGAGTCCCAGACCTCAGAGGCAAGAGAGGAAGGAAGGATGGAGAAAGGAAGATGCCACCCTGGTCACAGAGGGTTGGGTTAGAGATCAGCTAGAGAGACCTAACACCCATAAATCCATGGGCTCTGATGGGATGCACCCATGGGAGCCCAGGGAGCTGGCAGATGTTGATAAGCCAACATCCATCATCTGTGCAAAAGCATGGAGAACAGGAGAGGTGCCCGATGACTGGAGCAAAGTCAACATTACTGCCATCTCCAAAAAGGACAAGAAGGAGGACCTGGGAAGATATGCCCTGTCAGCCTCCCCTCCATACCTGAAAAGGGAATGGAACAGCCCATTCTGGAGGTCATGTCCAGGCATGTAGAGGACAATAAGGTCATTGGAAGCAGCCACCATATCTTAAAGGCAGATGTCAAGAGGATGGTGCTAGACTCTTTTCAGTGGTGCCCAGAGACAGGAGAAGTAATAGCCATAAACTAAAACACGAGAAGTTCCACCTTAACATGAGGAACAACTTCTTTTACTTTGAGTGTGGCAGAGCATTGGAACAGGCTGCCCAGGGATGTCATGGATTCTCCCGCTCTGGAGACACACAAAACCCACTTGGACGAGTTCCTTTGTAACCTGGCCTAGGTGATCCTGTCTTGTGCAGAGTTTGGGTTGAACTTGATGATATCCAGAGCTCTCATGATTCTTTGGTTCTATGAACTGTTTTGACAAATATATTCTACCAGAAAGATGTCAGTAGTTTTGAGGGGAAAAAAAAGAAGTACTGGATTTTCTAGTTAGATATGCTTTTCAGTGAAAGAGTAACAAGAATTTGATTTGTTTAGCTTACCATTTAGAAAAAAAAAAAAAAAAGAAAAAAAAAGCAGCATGTTATTAAATAAAACATAGTTCAAGGTAATCTATTTTTTCCACAAACTTTTGAGAGCTGACCCTTCTCTTTCAGATATAAATTACTCAGGAGATACACCTCCAGAAGACTTCTGCAAATTGCTTTACTTCTAGACTCTTCAGGCACAGTAGTACATTGCTTCTAGTACTGGTCCAAGAGATGGTGCTAAGATCTTTAATTTTTCTGCAGGGTAACATATGTAGATGTGCCCTTGTGTTTTTGTTAGTTATTTCTTAAAATGCATAGCTATTTATTTTTTAAGATAATGATACCTTTTTTATTAATATTGCAGATCCCACTTGGAAATCTATTAATTCCCTAACTAGTGGGATGTGATCCATTGTAAGAAAATTTTCTGGTTCTGGTCTAGACAAAGCTATGGTATGAGTTGTTTTAAAAAATAAATATATAATAACAAATATGTTCTCTCACATGAAAAAGTTAAAGTGCAGGTGTTACACTGATCAACTTTTAAACAGTCTCCAAAGACAGGAAGAAAACCTCATATTTGGCATTATGTTTTAACATGTAGAAGGCTGCTTTTGTTAAGTTTGTGGTCTTTGTTCAGGTAGAAATTTACGGCTATGTATATAAACACGCACACACACATATGTAAAGACATTATTTTGCCTTTTTCAGCACCGACAATTTCTGCTTCACTAGTTTTTCTATACTACTTTGATTCAGTTTTTTAAACTTCCACTTGCAAAAGCTAAAATGCAGAAACAACATGCAGATTGGGTTGAAAAAGTTGGGGCTGTTCAGCCTGCAAAAGAGAAGATTGTGTGGATGTCACAGCAGCCTTTCAGTATCTGAAGGAGGTCTACAGGGAAGCTGGACGGAGTCTCTTCACTAGAAACTGCATTGATGTGACGAAGTGGAATGGCTTCAAACTGAAAGAGGGGAAATTCAGAAAGGAAATCCTTACAAATCATAAAATTATGAAAAAAATTATTTATTGTGAGAGTGGTGAGGCGCTGGAACAGGCTGCCCAAAGAAGTTGAGGATGTCTCACCCCTGTCAGTGTTCAAGGCTGGTTTGGAACATGGCTTCGCACCACCTGGCCTAGTGGAAGATGTTCTAGGCCCATGGTCTAGAACTAGATCGTCTTTAAGGCTCCTTCCTAGTAAAACAATTCTATGATTCTATCTACATGGTGGAAACTCCAGCTGAGTTAATGACAACCATGGAGTAAACAGATTGACTAACTTTTCTTCTTTTAAAATGAAGAAAATACCGACGTCATCCATTTGGCTGTTGAAAATAGGTACTGAAACAGCCTTCCTGAGTTTTCTGTCGCTCCGTCTCGGATTTCGGACACTCAGCTTCGCCTACGTGCTGCTTTCCAGAAACTGAAGAGCCTGTGGTCAAGACAGGAAATCTGTAACTCAGCAGAAGCGCTGGTGAAGGAATAACTCTGCCGGAGCCGCTGGGGCGGAGAGCTCAGGGCGCCTCAGGGCGGCGCAGGGCGGCGCAGGGCGGCGCACACGCTGCTCCACTCTGCCCAGCTCAGCCCAGCGCGCTTCTCAGCCGGAGACACCAGCGGGACGGCGAGGGACTGGGTGGCGAGGGGCGGGATCTCTCCTGCGCCCCACCCCGCCCGCCTCCTGCCGCCACTCTTCTTTGCCGCGGGCGACGGGAGCAACGAGAGGCGACGAAGGGTTCTCGTCCTTCTGCTCGGGGGGCCCGCAGCCGGCGGCACGGTGAGGTGAGGCGAGGCCTCCGGGCAGGGCACGAGGGTCGCCGGGCCGCGGCTCTGCCGGCTGTGCCCCGCCGGGCTCGTCTCGGCCGGCGGCGGTGGGGGACGAGCGGCGGCCCCGGCGCGGGGCAGGCGCGGTGAGCGGCTGCCGGCCGTGAGGGCGGTGAGGGGCGGCCCCGCGCGGGCTCCGGCCCGCGGGCGCTTCCCGCTCGCCGCCGGCAGTGCTCGCAGAGGTACCGGGCTGGCGTGCCAGGGCTTAACTGGCGTGCCTGCCGGACACTGATAGCATTTTCTTCTTTCTTCAGCCAGCCTTCCCTCTTAAGGGTCTTGAGCCGGAAACGTCTTTGAATATTCGCAGCGGAGGTAGAAATAATAATATTAGAAATCAATGCAGGTGTGAGATACCTCCTCCCGGCTACCTTTCCCGGGAAGGGTCGGACTAGGTGGCCTCTCCTGGTTTGTCGCAGCCGGGGTGGTGACCTGAGATTGTTGACCATCCTCCCCTTCCTTCCGAGCTAGCTCTGCGGCAGCCCGATCCCTGGGACTGATGGCTTTTCAAAAGTTCGTGCCTCCAGAGGCCTTCCCGCCTCTGCTTGGCAAAGTGTTACCCCTACCTCTACAGAAATTTTAATTCGGATGGTGGGTACCCAGTAGGCACTGTGTTTATTGCCTACACGCAGGAAGTTTGATTTGTTTTACTTTATTGGATTCCTTTGTCAGCATGAAGATAGAAGGAGTTGATCAGATTTTTGGAAAATCTTGACTTTTTTTGAATAGTCTTTCATCTTACGTCTTAACAGTACTTTGCTTTTAAAGAACTATTTATATAGTTGAATTATTTTTCACTCCTAGTGGGAGGTCTGCAAATTTTGCAGTCAAACCATATGTGTAGTTTTGTAGTGGTGGGGAAATGGTAGAAATTTACTGAGCTTTTCATCACATATCTAAATTTACTGTACTCTGTTTCATAATCTTTGTTTAAGATAAGTGGGTGTCCTATTAATTGTGATCTTAAGCTGGTTCATGTTGTAGGGGAAAAATACCAGCAACCAAATATATGAATAAAAATAAGTGAGTAGTCTGGCTAACTCTTGAGATAGTTCAGGTGTGTAAGTTTTCTTGTTTAATTTTGTTTTCATACACATTATTTTCAGTGATAATACTGTTATCTAAAAGTACACCTGGGCAACATATCCAGGTATTCTAGAACGTATTTAGTTAGCCAACTTCTATTGTTGGGATAGATACCTACTTTAAGCCCCTAGCTTCTGTTTTGCCAGATACCTATTTGGGAATTCTCTTTAATCAGATGAAGGGCATTGAGGGTGTTTGGATATTAGCTTCTTGTCATTTGAAAGAAGAGAGACTTCTTGAGCTAAAATATGATTAGTGAACAAATGGTAACAGTGGCCCTTTCCTTGGACAGTTAGTGCATTTTTAGGGTTTTCCTAGTTTTCTGATCTGTTACTTCTCTTTTAAAATGCATTAGAAAAGGAAGACCTGACACCTGAATTGACTGTCAAATTAATGGTTATTCCTGAGCAGGATGAGAGTGGAGTTGCTGAATGTGTTGTGGTGAAAATGCCCTTCCCTTCCTGTAAAAAGTGTAGCTTGATAATTTTGGTAAATAGTGACTCTGTGACATTAATCCGAAGTATAGAAGTTTGAGCAACGGCTGTTGCTGTGTGTTTCAGAGTGTTTTTTCTTTTCTTTTTTTTCCTGCAGTTTGTAAATCCTTGTGAAAGGCATATAGGAAGTTTATGGTCAGCAGACTTCAGTTCTTCAGTTGAGTTCAGTGCACAAACTTTAAATCTCCAATGGCAAAATGTTAGTTTGACCTTTTTTGACCTGCAAATTCGAAAGGAAAAACCACCCTCAGAGAGTGTTGCTGAAGAGGATGGTAAGAAATCTGTATGCTCTGTTTTGTGACAGTGTACAGTTCCTTGCGCCCTGTGTACAGTCTGTGCAACTTTGAAAGCATAAAGGTTGCTGCTGGCTATAACTGGTTCTCACCACGGGGCTGTGAATAGTGGTACTTATAAGATCCTGCTGTGAGTAAGAACGAACTGGATTTATCCTTCAAAGATGATCACTACTGTGTATTAACCATTTATACAATGAAAACTGAAAGGTTTTGAGTAATTTTTTTTTGCACTCTTTTTCCTCCCAACCAAAAAAAGGTCACCTTTAGACCGGGCACATGCTGCACTCTTTTAAGAATTACTTATTTTTCCGATTTCATTTAATTGTTTTTTAAAATAAAACTCAAGTTCTAGTATCTTTGATTCAGTTGTGTCTAGGTATATCTAACTAATTTGTCAGTGGAAGAAGTTTTGATTAACTTGATTGGTTAATACAGTATGCTTTAATTCGAGCAGTCAGACATAGGATTTCCTGACAATATCTGAAAAAAACTCCAGTGATTTCTTCCAGAAGCTCACTGGGAGGTTGGAAAAGAATCTGCAATAGGTGGGGAAAGCACCACTGTCTGAGGGGCTCCCTTGGTGGAGGAGGTTTCCCCATTCTGGTCCAGTCTGGTTGGGATGGGATTGTGTGACCTCTATGCTGTGCCTTAGCCCTTAGGTCCTTGTTGGGGCTTTTTATTTTTTTTTCTTTTTTTTTTAATCTCTTGTCTCTAGTTTTTGCAGGAGTTTTAGTAAGGCTTTGTCCTTACTCATTTTTGCAGACCTCCAAGAAGCTGTGCCTTCACTTTTCAGTGGCTGCTTCAGCTGTGGTCTGTCTTTAGATGCTGCTCTGGCTTATACTGGCTTTGTACCACGCAGCGGCTGGGTGGTGGAGGACGTGGTTGGTAGGCAGGTATGCTGGCAGGGGATAAGGGAACATTTTTCCTACACTGACTGCTGTGTGTGTATATTGAATTGTTCACCTTTTCTGGTTGCTTCTGCTCGGCGGGTCTTACGGAAGTACACAGAGCTGAACCCTGTGAGCAGAGAGGCTTGGCTTTCCTTTGGGGAGTCTGAAATGCACCATTTTGTTTTGTCTTTACCACTAGTGTATTGGTCTTGAGGCTTGGTTGGCAATGTTGTTGCTTATCTGTAGTGAAAGATTCCTGGATATCACATATCCTACTTCATTTGAGTACAGTAAAAAAATAATTGCTTACTGTGGGAAGTAAAAGTATGCTGTATGTTAATTTGCTTGAATATCTCAGAGTCTAAAACCTCTCCTTCTCAGTGAAGCACCACTGGGTTGGAAAAACAGAAGGATGAAATCCTCTGTTCGGAAGTCAGGAATTTTACAAATATGCTTATTTTTACATCTGCCATGGACATTGTTGAATTTCATCTTCAATAAAATTACTTTCTTACCCATAAAATCAGAAACTTATTTTAAATCCAACTGAAATAACTGTGCAGGACCAGATATTTCCTGGAAAAACAGCATGTGCAAACAGATTTTCATGTAAATGTGCTTATTGAGCTGATTTGCTTATCTCTCCTCCAAAATATGTGAGTATTTATATCCAGGCAGAAAGTTAAACAGTTTTTATTTTTTAAACTAACGAGAGAAGGAATATCAATATTGCAACTGAGGTGTAAAATTTTGGGTCTGCAGTACGTGAACAGAAGAGCCTTCTGTGTCTTTCATGCCTTTTCTCTTCCTTTTGCTTTTTCTTCTGTTCAGTATAAAAATATATTCCTAATTAATATAAATGATTTAAGGGTAAACAACACTGCTATTTTCTAGAAAGAGCAATGTACTGAAGTCAAACATGCTTTAGTGATATCAGCATTTATTTGCCTGTTTGTTTTTAAAACAACAGGCAGGTGAAAACAGCAGAAAAGGTGCTGATGCTGCCAGATTTGTCTACTATCTAGGTGTATTGGCATTTTTTAGCATGGTTTTGTGCCTGTGCTTTAAGCTGCATGGTGAACTAATCATTCTTTCTTTGAACAATGTACTTGCTTTACCTCTGGAAATTTTTGAGCTAAGCAGGTAGTCCCATATATTTATCTAGTAGATAAATCACAGTGCAAGCTGTTACTGCTGATAATCTGAACTGTTTTCTCTATTTCTGACAGCTGTGGGAAAAATACCAGTTGTTTTATTCAAGTCGCACTTAGAATGAATCACTGCACCTTGCAGTGCAGTTTGTAGTTTTTCCATGTGTCAAGTGTACCTACTATTACAGCAAAGAACAAGATACAGATGACTTCATAATGGGTTCCAACAGACCTTTCTTGAAATACAGTATTGTGTTCTGGTATGCAAATGTAAATAGATGCTCTTGTTCTTTGCTGAGATGGCAGTGCTAACTTCATTGTGCCCTTTGTGCTCTCATTTTTGCTACTCTGAAGGTTCGGGGTTCTTGGTTTTCAGCGATCATGTGTAAGACATGGTGGCTCTGTACTTCTCAGGTGCTTCTTTTAGGACGACACAGTAGGATAATAGTCTGTGCAAATATATGTGTTTCTGCAATTCATAGCTCTCTACTGGAAATTGTGCATGTCTCTGTGTGTGTTTTAATCTACTGCGTGTTAATTTTTTTCATTACAAGAAAAGAAATAAAACAACGTGGTTCCTTTCCTTGCCTTTGCTTCTTACTGTTGACCTTACTTTGTCTGGGGCCCTGTGGGTGTCCACTGGAGCTGCACTGCGTGTGTCCCTTTGCGCCTTAGCTGAGGTTTCCTTTAGGCAAGAACCTCAAGTCTCAGGAGTTAGACTTCTTTGGATTGTTTTGTGGTGTTTGTGTGTTTATGAAGAAGCAGCAGTTTCAGGAAGCTTTGTTTTACTCTTATATCCTCTGTATGTATCCTCAAATACAAATTAAGAAACTTTTCAAATGAACACATGGATTTGAAACCTTTGTGAATCTGGCAGTACTGTGCACTGTGTGTTGAGAAATGAGAAGATAGATTATATCTTGACTACAGAGAGGGAATTTTGCAGAGAATGCAAGTGGACACTGAGGTATGTGCTGGATGTACAGTAACATTTGCATTTCCAGTACTTGCAAAGTGTTGGCATCACATATTTCCCCTGTGTTTATAGTGTATGTTCACATGTAAATCCTTTGAGAGTTGCAACCATTTATTAATTTTTAAAACATTGCCGCTGTGTGTTGCAACAGTAGGGAAGAGGTTGCTTTGCTTAAAAACATGTTCCTTGAAAGCTTGTACAATATATTACTAGTAAGTGTACCCATTTTAGATTTAACTAGTGTCATATGTGATACGTATATATTTGCTGTCTGCCTGATCTTCTGTGCTTATTTTTGCTGTCTTTTGTGTGCAGGAGTGCAGAAAGAAAAAAAGTTAATCTCAGTTTACAAGGGATCACTCTTCTACAAACTGCAGCCAAGATTCCCTGGAGTTTGAGGATTCATGAAGCTAGGTGCCATTAAGCTTATTAAGACCAGATTTCACCACACCATAATCAATGTGTGCATATTGCAAAGAGAATTGCAGCTACCCTTTGCCCCTGCCTATCTTTTAAGATGGTCCGTTTCACAGAAATAACACAAATCTCAGTAACAACCAGTAGTATCCCTGATACTGCTAATTCATTATTTATTTTCTGTAGAAGCAGAGAAAGCAACTGAGGATCAAAATGGAGAACACTTAATGCAATGTAGCTTTGAAATCAGTGGAGTATCTGCTCATATTTATATTAATTGTTATTTTTAGATTCTCCTTTAAATAATTTGGTTCAGTCTTATTTACATATTTATTTACAAGCTTGGGAACAAGAAGTTAGAATAATAGTGTCAGATGGAGTAAGTTGAAACTGTCCAATTTTAGAAAGCAAAGTGCAAATTACTCCTCAAACAGCAAGACGAAATTAATTTTCTGAGTAAATTAGGTAAAAAGCTATCTATTCTCTAGCTCAGTGTTGTCTGCCTAGATTTTTGGGTAGATGTATGATAAAAGAATGGCTGGTTCTGTTTATTGCAGATTTTCATTATATTGTTAGGAGTATTCAAGACATCCCCCTCAAGAGCATGTGAAGCTTTATGTACAATCTAATAGTGTGCGATGTCCTTTCTTTGTCTTTCAGATGGAAATATCTAGACAGGTCAACACTAATACATTTACCTTCCTTGCTGGGTGTAAGCCTGTCAGCTGCCAGCTGTTGCATTACTACAAAGAAAGTTTTATTGCATGTATAAAATAGCTGTAGTTGGGGATGCAGTATAATATGCTCTTTTTAATTTGCAGGTTTCCATACTTGCTGTGATTCTTCGGATTTGTTCTTTTCTTGAAATGGTAGGACTAGGAAACAGCTGTCGTGGGATGAAGTCTCCACCTCTCCTCATGGCTGCGCTCGTGGCGTGCATAATTGTTTTGGGTTTCAATTACTGGGCTGCAAGTTCTCGCAGCATGGATCTGCAGGTAATGTTCCTTTTGCTCTGCATGTCACTTTGTATTTCTGCAAGTAGTAAACATAGTTCACAAGAAGGATGTTTCTCATTCGTATGGCCAGTCAGGAACTTCAGCTTTTTGTAGGAACTATCACAAGTTTTTCAGTCCTTGCTTATCAGTAGTGGGGGAATGGGATGAATGCCTGTTTGTACATGAGAGGAACCCAAAACTTGAACACACCTACATGTGTGTTTCTTGTTACTTCTGCTCTCACAAAACATTCATCTGTCTTGTGCTGTTTCACATTAAAGATGTGACAAATGTCATCCTCTTTTGTCCCCTCCCAACCTCCCAGGCACCCCCAACTTCCTCACCATTGTGGCAGTATGCAAAGCAGAAAAGGCATTGGCTTTTGCAAGCCCTGCTCAGCAATAACAAAAACACCTTTATATTATCAACCCTGTGTTCATCACAAATCCAAAACAGAGCCCCATGCCAGTCACTGTGAAGAAAATTAACTCTATCCCAGTCAAAATTGGCATGCTGATATTCCTAGATTTGTCTTGTACATGACCTCTGACATTGGATGCATACTGTACAAGGAAATCTGGGTTGTTCAGAAACAAAATCGTAATTTGTGTTTCTTAGCGATCTTTCTGAAGAAGGACATACAAGTCACATGTAATAATTACCTTGTCTGATGATAACTATATTTTTCTGATGATAACTATATTTTTTGTGGCTATTGAGCTTGGGTTTTAATCCTTTCTGGACCATTTGTTCTGATGTAGGGTATGTGAGTCAAGTTTCTGGTTTGTGACAATCTCTGCAGGACAGGTTTTTTCCCCTCTTTTTTTGATTGTTTTCTTTTGTTTTGTTATTGTTTTTAACAAGCTGACCTAAAAGCTAACAACATGTTGATTAAATGTGGCTCATAAGAGCTCCTTCCCAGTTTATCCAGTGAATTTGCATGCTCTTTATAATTGAGCTAAATTTTAGTACTGAGTGGACAGCTGAAGGAGTTGAACTCCTGTTTCACCTCAGAGCAGGCACTATTCAAACAGGGCAATTGTGTCTGGCCATGTGGTATGTCTTACGACTTCTGAGACCCTGGCCATCCCTTGCTTTCCCTTCAGTCAGTGGCCTCAGGATGGTGGCTACCAGTGGGTAGTAACTGTGTCAGTACTACTGAAGTGTTGCTGCACAGCCATGAAGCAGCTGATAATGAGAAAAATATGACACCATCCTGGTTTATCTTGGTCTCAATAGCCTAGAAACAAGGTCCTCTGATATTACTCATGTGCCCTACCATCTTACACATTTCTTCTAAAGTTAGCCTGAAGTTACTTCACTTTGGCATGGTCACACACTCTGAATAGAATAAAAGCATAGCTGAACATGGATGGAGCTTCTAAAGCACTCTGCTCTGTACAACTGTTTGTTTGTTGGCAAGACTTTGCAGCTGTTGTGACTGAAACAGGAGGCATGTTTTTCCTTGCTATACCAGGTACACTGCAAGTAATTTTCCTTTTTTTTCCCTCTGGCTCCTCTCCCTTTTCTTTCTTTCTGTGGTAGAGAGGCAGGGTAGGTGGGACATGACATGCTACGTACTGTGGTGTAAGAAGATTGGGTACATTTTCTTGGAGTCTTGGAACATGCATAATTTTTACTGTATCTAATTTTCAGTCCACCTGGAATCACCAGGTCTTTTTTCTTATGGGTAGATTCTCTTGATATCCCCAGCCCCTTGCATGTTTTCGTATTCCTCGTTGCTGCTGAAGAACAATTTTAATCCAAAATGTTAGAAACAACATCCTGCAAAATTAAATTGGTACTTAAAAAGAGAATGGCAGGAGGAGGAGGAGGAAAGCTTGTGAAAACATGAGACTTGATTCCTTAGCTTCTTTCTCTCTCATCATATGTACGGGATGTGATGGTGTTGAGTTTTCTTCTGACTGTAGTTGCTCTTTGAGGAGTCAAGAAGAATGATGATGATTTTCTGTTTATGAATGAATGAATTTTTCTCCTATATGTCTTTGTGTAATAGCCATGTGTGAATTGTTCATGTAAAAGTTGGGCAGTGTTGCCCTCCCTCTACTCTTCCCTAGCTCTTCCAGGAAAGCAGATTGATGGCTGAGTTTTCATACTGAGTTAGTTTGGGATCAACACTGAGAAGTGTAGAGCTGTCAGAATTGTATGGGCTAAATTTAAAAAATTGTTTGACTTTGTACTTCAGAAGGATTGTAGTCTCTAATCTTTTTTATGTTTATGTTTTGGGGTTTTTTTTAAGCTCAAGTACTGAGCTTTTAATTTTTCTCATCTTTAACAGAAATTTTACAGTCTTTACAAAATACGCACTCCTGTTAATTTAAGTAAAACTAGGGAGGTGTGACTAGTATCCCAGGCTGACACAGGACTTTCATGCATTGTTAGCTCTGTAAAATTTGCTATTCCTTGAATATACTGGACAAGATTCTGGCAAGGTGGAAGCATTTCTGCTTGCTTTGGCTAATCTGCTCTTCCTCAGGGTCAAGTCATGGATCTGGAAGGCAAAGTCCGCAGGGCGGCAGCGGAGAGGGGTGCTGTGGAACAAAAAAAGAATGAATTCCAAGGGGAGCTAGAGAAGCAGCGACAGCAGATTGACAAAATCCAGTCCTTGCACAGCTTTCAGATGGAAAATGCCAACAGAGTACATCAGGAGGAGAAGGTAGGGCTTTTCCTAGCCACAGTTTTCTGTGAGACTGTTGTTTACCAAGACACACTGTGCAATGGGAAGTGGTGCTCATGTGTTGCAGCTTACAGTCAATGTTGGTGTGGCAAAACATTTTATATTGTATCACATTGAGAAAATGGACCTTGAATGGACATTTTAGCATTTGGTGTATAATTTTGAAATACTAGAAGCTGCAAGTAACAGCAGTTCTGAATAAAACTCTTATCCTCTCTATAAATCCTTACCATACTTGGATTGTCCCTTCACTTTCTTTCCTGTATACTAATCTTTTAAGAATTAAGAAAAAGAGGAAGATGCACCAAAAGATACGTTCCGAAATATATCTGAAAGGAGAAATGGTTGACATGTATTTCTAAATGCATTACAAATTTTGTGGCATCTGGGCTTTCTGCCTCCAAAACTCAGTGGTATTGGGAAGATATGAGAAGGTGAGCCTTTCTCGGCAGTGCTCCTGGCAGTTCAACTTTGCCAGGGGGATGGTATTCCTTTGTGAAGAATGTGAACAAAGTTCCTTAAATAGCAGTGTGTGTGATTCCTGCTGTGTAGTGTTTTGCAAACTGGTTTGGTGTGTATTTTCCTTGTGTTGCTGATGCCACCTTGATTGCAGTTGTTAGTAATATCACTTTTCTCCCTATTAGTATAAGTATTTGCTGAGAGGATTCAATTGCTTCTCCCATAGAGTTTCTGGACTGTTTGTAGATCAGCTTTCCAGGACTATTATGTTCTTCAGGTTGAACAGTCACATCTTGTGATGGTAATAGGTACTCAGGTAGCAGGTTCACTGTGGTTTGCTCCTCAAAATGTGTTGGCTGAGAAAAATATTACCAGATTAATCTTTGAAGAACTTAGAGGAACAAAATTGAGTAAAAATGTTAGATAGAATGTGTGCATCAATGTCATATATCATTAGTTTATTTCAAAAAAATCTTTACCCCAAGTCTTCAAGGAAAAAATAAACCAATTCTTTTTACCTCTTTTGAGACAAACATGTATCCTTGATAATTTCTCTCTTCTCTTTGTGTTCAGTCTTTGCATATACTTTAAAAAAGATGAGGTATAGTTTGTCTATTTATTTTTTCAATGTGTGCATTTTTTGAAAAGATATCTCAGAATATTCAGACAAGATTCAAGTGAGTAATCAAATCTTGTCACTTCTGCCTCATGTTATTGGGTATTGCTACTGAATGCTGTGGCATTTTCTTGCCTTCTGCTTCAGTCCTAGAGGGAGTGAAAACGCACGCATGAGTAGGAAAAATGAAATTCAAACGTAAGAAAAGGGCAAATATAGTGGAGTATTATGCTTCCTTTCCATAAGCAGATATTGCCAGAGCTACTAAAAGACACTGAAAGGGCTGGCCAGAGGGCTTTCAACACAGGCTAGCAAGAGGGGCAGATGTTGAGAGATGGTGACAGGACCTTATCCCGGAGTTTTAAGGAAGTTTAGTGAATTAAATGTTGCTTCTGTCAAGCATGATGTACCATCTTTTTGCTTCAGATTTCTGGCATTAGATGAGTGGTAGGTGGCATTACACAATCCACTTTCCTTGTGGTGTTTTTGAGCCTAGAGGACATATAGGAACTGTTCATAAAATGTGGCATCCAGGCCAGGAAAAGTAGTGATAGGTAGAACTGCTGTTGTACATGGGGTATAATCTGGTATCTGGGGAAGAGTCAATGTGGCTTCTGGAAAAGAAAGTCTTTGTTCTGAAGCATCTCTTGAAGCTTTCTCCTGAAAGAGTTGGTGATGAAGGTGAGGGAGACAAGTGAACATATTTGCACCTGAAGTTGAAGTGGCTTGTAGAGATATTATGCAGCCGTGTGGTCAGACAGTGATATTGCAACGGTGAATGACAAGGCAAAAGTTACAGAGCAGCTTAGAAATACACTGGGTTAATTGTTGTACTGTGTGTGGGGGGTCACCAGTGGAGTTTTGAAGTGCTGTGAAGGCGCAGAGAGGAGAGCAAAGGTCACCAAAGCTGTGCAGTAATTTCTCTGCAGGAATCCAGGGCATGGTTTACAGGCTGGACAAGGGTCAGCAGAGGAGAACCATCACAGTCATCTTCAGGATTCCAAATGGTACAGAAAATGTTTGTGGCTGTGAGAGGGAAGGCAGGGTTGTCCTGCATTCACTGATGTGCTTCAAATGCCATCATCAAGTTGTAGTTCAGACTGAGCAGAAGGTAGTGCTCTTCATGTAATAGGTGTTGAAGCTGCAAATGCATGGCATTCATAATACTCAGGTACAGTGGGTCTGTGTAGGTTAACGAGCAACTGGATGACCTTGGACAAATACCTAACCCACTTCAAAGGTGTTTGTTCTGTCTCCAAGTGTTCCTCAGACAGAAGAAGCTGCTGCTTGGAAAATACTGTGCTTTATGGCTGCCTTGGAATTCATTTGGCATTTCAGTGTTAGAGGTGGGATGCTGGGAAAGGTGGATTGTGGGGCTGATGTAGTTGAAAATCCTGCCTGCTAAGTGCTTTTCCCTCTATCACCCTAAAATACAGTTGTTCAGTAATGGAATAGTCTATAAAGCTTGCTTTGAAACCCCAGGAAGTGATACCCTAGGGAAGTGGTGCATTGGACTAATTTCCTGACTTCTGTGTTCTGTGACTGGAGAAGAGTGTGTGTCTCACTCAAGAGCCTGAAGTGGTAGGGTGAGCAGGTATGTGCCCGTGCACCATTTTGCATCAAATTCAAAATTTGCTTTTCTTGTGACACACAAAGAAATATCCTGCAGAGATGCTGTTTTACAACAAGAGTGGGAGAGCTGTTTTGCTGGAAAGCTGTGCATTTGTCAAAAGAAGACATCAGCCAAGCTGGTGTGTATTCATCCACTGTAATTCAGGAATATCTCTGATGTAGTGGCAGGGAAGACAGGGAAACATTAATTCTCCTCACTAATGACCTTTATTGTAAGAAGCTGTCCAGGATCAGAGATTATTCTACAGAGGGATATGGAATATAACAAAAGACAGCTTCGGAGTGCTTTTTTGTTCATGTGTATCTCTATCCATATATAAATGTGTTTTGTATGTTCATATCTTGTGTATATAAGATATGATGGTATATACAGGATGTAAATGTATATGCTTGTTTTTTGGCACCATGGATTGCAGTGTAATCTGAGATTCTTGGGAGGCAAGTAATGAATTCACCCTTTCTGGTTGTGGGAAGCTTGCTCCTTGAACTGAACTTTTACTCTGTGAGGATTAGTGACTAGTGTTTACCTAGTCAGGAAGAATGAATGCAAATCCAAATCCTGAGATACTCAACCCATTTTACAAGCATTTTACAAACTATAACTAACTAGAGATCTTCAAGTAATAAATAAGGTTTTGCTTAGTTCCTGCTGTTGTTAAAGAAAAATTAAAGTGCTTTCAGCTATTCTGTAGGAATGACTGGTCCCTCTCAAACCTCCCACTTTTTGAGGAAGAAATTATGTCTCTTTTGGCTGTAGAAGAAACTCATATATGAGTCATACTTACACAATCTGGATTTCTAAGAACAAGTCACAAGTAACATTTGAGACCCATCATAATTGCAGTTCATCTCTGCTCACTGTGTCTTATTACTCTGCTGATAAAATACAGAATAATTACAGTACTAACTTAGTTTCATACCAAACCAAAACACCAGTAGGGTGTTTTGCCCAGTTAACGTCATTGTCACTAGCAGTGCAGTAATCACTTTGAGTTAAATCTGCCTTCTTTTGTAGTAGAACCGTATCTGTGCTGCTTGAAGGATGAGAAGGTCAGTAGTCTGAGCCTGTCGTACTGTGTGGGCTCATTTACTGGGACAGTGTAGTTCTGGAAAGTTACTGTTGTAATTATTTTCTTAGGTCTGAGAGTGTATAAAACACTACTGTCACCAGTCTATTTTTAAAAAGCCTGTTTGAATTTTTAAGGATTAGTGTAGAGTTAGGAAATGGCTTCTGGAAGTCCATACAGAAGTAGAATGACGAGACCAAGTGGTCTTACATGAACACTTGGTAACAACAGTTCAGGAGTGCAAAAAGACTGTTTCTAATCTGTGTGGTTGTTATTCAGGACTTGTAGCTTCTGGGATGTACAGAGCCACAGACGTCTCTTTGAAGAGCATAAGAAGACAACAATGTGTTTAATATCTCTGGAATGTATGAGTATGATTTTGCAGTTGGTAGTTTTATTTGGATTTACATAAATCTTCTGCAGCCCAAATCTTTTTTTATTGAGAAGCGCCAAGATTTGTATGTTCTATGTGAAGCATGTCACTGTCCTGTTATTCAGTATCTTTTAACACAGGCCACAGCTGCTCTCTGGTGCCCTCCTTCTGGGAAAATTTCAATTCCCAGCACAGTCTTCTGACACAAAGTACCTATTGGTATGCAGGAAATCGACTCCACTCAGAAGGAAATACAGTAGTCTGTAGGAGAGAGTAAAAAGGTACCTTCTCCTTTTCACTGAGTGTCTCCGTCTCTCTGGGTGCC